GCCATACAGTTCGCCAATCGATTATCATATTTTTCTGGCATTGCAACATTTCTTTAATGATAAAAAAAATTGGTATCTAGGGAGAATTGTGAAAATCGACTAATAGAGTTTTTTTTTTGCAAATAGAGAGCAGGACTTCTATGAGAGAGGCATTATGAAGTTACCTTTAAAATAGTAACAAATCATACAGCAAAACTGTGCATATTTCCCCAAACTAATATATGAATTTATTTAGATTCGGAATATAGGCTTGTCCGATCAAAATAAATTGATTCCTGAATCGACACAGAAAATAAGTTTTTAAACACTATAGAGGTCGCAATATTTAAGATAGAGCTCTGAAATTTTTCACAGACATTGTTAGTATTCCAAGCTGTTTGTTATTGCAAATAGCATAAATCGGTCTGTTTTGGTGTAGCGCCCATATAACAGTAGCCCCCAATATTCGGTATTTTGGGGATTTTTGACACGTTTTGTAACCGAATTGGCTGTAATTCGGTATTTTGGGTTGTCATGTTATACCACATCTCCGTACCAAAAATAATTAATATTAAGTTTCATGGTAGTCCCCATATTACAGCACTTCCAAATACTCGTATTTTGGGGAATTTTGACAGATTTTCCAACCGAATTGGCTGTAATTAGGCATTTTGGGTTTTCTTATAACGATATAACCACATTTCCACACGAAAAATTGTTATCATATACCCAAGTCGCTATTTTGGGCACGCTTTTCAACCGAATTGGCTGTAAAATTTCACTACCAAAAAATGTCAATATTTATCTCCGTTTAATATAGCCCCATATAACGGTATCCCCAATATTAGATATTTTGACAATTTTAATCCTCTTTTTCAAGCACAAACATGTTTACATCCTTATAACCTACACAACTACCACTGACCTCTAACTCCTCTTGAATATACTGCAAACTTCTCCAGTCCATGAGATTTAGAAGTAACACAAAAGTCTGCTTCTATTTGACCCGTCCATGACCCATCTCGGGTCGTAATTGTAGCATCTGAGCAACCAGAAAAACAGACAAACATTAGGTTTTTGGTCCATTTGATATTACCTGATAATTATCAAAGACATGCAAAATTTCGTTGCGATTGGTCCATAACTGTAGCCTGTGTTTACAAATTATAACAGATAGGTGGACTGACACACATGCCCAGATCGCATCAGCTAGACGGCGATCAGTATCAGTTTTCTGATTTGACGTGTTTGTTGTAGGCCTACAAAGAGACTAACGTGTTTTTAGAACTACAAGTAGCGAAACCACTAACCACCCTAATACACTATAATTGAACTATATTATAAAATAAACTTGAATCAATGTATAACTGTACATTTATATTGTACAATATGTGTAAAGAATTAGAATTGCACATTGTGTTATGATGTTATATTCATGCCTATGTATTCTGGATATTTCTGCATAAAATTGTTATTTCGACCATTGAACATTGCAATTTCTCCAACAACCCCAAACAAATTGTTCATTCACTTCCCCTTTAGCCTTTTCTTGGGTTTTGATCATTTAGATTATTCATGGTTGTGCAACAAATTGGGTTTTGTTTAACATTCAACACAGCAAACAATGACGATCGTGATTTTTTTCTAATATACGCTCCGGTGCCCACAAACAATTGTCTAAAACTATTTGCGATATTTCAAAGTGTTGAATATGTGAATTTATGACTGTTTTGCATTCCGATTAGATTAAAATACGTGGTTTGAGGGTTGTACAATAAATAATTTTGTTTGTTTTTTATTTTTTTTCGATGTTTGGCTTTCATAATATTATTTTGGCGCAGGCAGGAGGTAAATAAATGTTACTAAATTATGTGTGGGGTATAATGATTTTTTGTAAGAAAAAAATTAATATAGAAATTTTGCTTTATTTATATTTGATTTTTGAATAAGATTTTGACTATTCCCTCAATTATTAAACATTCTTTATCAGGGATAAAATATAAAATATGTTGTATATATCACAATTGTAGAATACATATGACTCATAAATTTGATACGAGGTACTTGATAACAATTATGTTATCATGGACATCTACGATCGATTGCGTTGGGACAATTTTTATTGTTGTTTCTGATAGAACAAAAATCACGGAATAATTTGTATGTCACTTCAATTAATTGGAAATTATGTAAACATTGTCAATTTCAACCAAGTATGTTGGACAATACTCATATACCAAAACATGGATCTATATTGATAATTTCTTCAAAGAGATCTACATTTTCCAAGAATGGAAAAGGCGAACCAAAAATTTAAGTCGTCTAAAATTCTTATGACAGAAAATATATATGGATAATATTGCCAATTTTTTAATATTCCATTTTCAAAAATTCTGTTCTTTTTCTTTTCGTACTACATCAATCTTTGGTACATATATGTAGAGAAAAATGTCCTGACACCATTGTTTTGATAAAGATCGGTCAAATACCCTGATTTTTGTGTGAAAAAGACAAAATTTGTGATGATCAAAGTGGACCCTATAGGCCACAATTATAATTTTTGTGTGAAAATGTCACAAAATTTGTGATGATGACCACAAATCCGTTCGTGATCAAATTGTTGGTTAGTTTTTAATTTTGGACATTAAATTTAAATTGTGTCTAAATCGCGTAATCCTCAAAATCAATTGATGCGCATGCGGTTATTAGGAATTACTGAAGATTATCTTCGAATCCATGTATATTTTGCGAAATTTCATTTGACGGCTAAGATTTGTTTTTGGCATGTCTGTTCCCGCCGTTTTAGTAGATGGAGTTTCGCGAAGATGATTTTATTTTATCAGAAACGCGGGAGCGCATGTCAATCAAATGACACATATAAAAATTTTGACGGAAAATGAGTTTTTTTTCGAAATTTGGTTACACAAAATTTTCACTTTTTGGATAGATATTACTGTGAAGCTGAGCATAATATATCATATTATTCAGATTCTAGAGTATAACAATCCTATAATTAATGTTTGAAAATTCCTGATTGCGCATTGAAACTAGAAGAAAGATTCAAAAAGCACTCAAAATCGAGCTTCAAAATGTCAGCATCACTTAAAGGTAGATGTAGATACATTTTCGAAAAATGGTATATAAGGCACATAATTCTCATTTTGTATGCTTCTACTTTTACTTTGTCACGAAGGCCGTGAAATCGAGAAAAAACATAAAAAACATGGGTTGCCTCATTCAGTTTTATACATTGACACAGACACAGCGTTCACGAAAATAAACTTTGGAGTTCAGTAGCATTAAAAGTTTGCAACATATCAATAAATTAAAAACGATTCACTTTTTTCTCATATACTTTATTTATTCCCTATTTATAAAGGGGTGAACCTCGGCTTCAGCTATGTTAAAAAATTGGCAATATTGCCCATATACGCTATTTACTAATCAATATAAAGCGTAGATAATTCATATAATTTCAAATTTGTAAAGCCATTTAAATACAAGGGAATTAGTCTGTTTGTTCATGAGGATATTATATATACAATTTTTATTTATTTCATTGGTATTAAAAATAGAGCAAAAACATTATAACAATTCTGATACTTGAAGTTTATAAAGAAGAATTTCTAAATTTTTGCAGAGATTTAACAACTAATTCAAACCTAAACCACAGCAGTCGCATGGAATTTTTGTATATTTCTTTAAACCAATATTATTGTTTTTGGATCTAAATCATTGTCACCGCGCCTTCATCACACAATTGCCATTATTTATGTATGCTCACGTTCTTGTTGTCTTGAACAGCAATTACTTTCGCTTACGCCAAGCAAAAACAAAACAACAACATTGTCGTCTAGTTGTTTTATTTATGTTCATCGACAGACATAAAAGTACATTTTGTTTTTCTTAACTTTTTTCTCTCAATATTCGTTCAACTTGACCCACTTTGAATTTTGCCAAATCTGGTATTTTCAAGGTTGATGGCATCTCATGATACGACGTAATGAACAGGTCAAACGATGCCCAACTATGTGGCCGGATTGAATGCAAGTGCTTGTTATCAAGACAATCCCTGTTCAATGTCAGTTAATGCATACCGACATCCAAAATATTCACAAATGCAGCTTATATATATATATATATATATATGTATGCAAGTGCCACAGATGACTGCTAAGATAGAGTCGATTTTTTTAAATTGCATTGTGGGTGTACATTGTATTAGGGTTAGTGCTTAGTTGTTAATGTTGCCAAAATAAAATCAAGGAATGGTAAGATAATCTGACCATAAAAATGTCAATTGCATTTTATTGTGACATACATATTTTAAAATATTATATAGGTATTTTATGTTATGCGCTCTTTAGTTCATTTTAAAACTACATCAAAAATACGAACAGAAAACAATCGTTTTTTTTATTATCATATACATATATGCTTTCGTATAAAGTATATTATGTTATTGTTATACTATCTTCTATACAATCTTAAATTCAAGATGTTTATTAAAAAATACTAAATTCCCAATAAAATAACATTTAGTTTTTAAAACTAATAATTAATATTACTTCTAAAAATTGTTTTGTCAATATATTTTTTATATAATTTTGCATCCTTAAGCAACATCATATTCTTTCATATATATTTTACATAGCCGTTAAAAACTATTACACATAAACTTGCTATAGACTTAACTACGTTCTATTTTTCTGCGACAATTTTATTGCGCTGTAATTTTTTGCAGGTTATCTGCAAATCTATGTTCCATAGTTAATCCTTGCAATAAAAGCTCTACAGGAAGAAATGACATGCACGCATACCCATGCATGTTTAATATTTACCTCCTCCTGTTTAAAAATAAACAAGTCCTTTCAATGAACCATGTCCTCCTGTTGTGTCTATTTATAGAAAACCATTCATGTTTTTTTGTATACACACTATTAATTATTTTTTACTATTATACACCACCAACAGCAGCAGCACCACTAATAATAATTCTTTTTCACTTGTTTTCATTTCAGGTCGGAACGTTCTATCGTGCGTGTATCAATTTATCAAAGTAGTAAACCGCAACAAATTTGCCCTCCCGATTATTTTTCGAAATTCGAAGATAATTTAGATAATTCTTTAAGTAACTATAATTGTAATTTAGACGACATAATGACGACAGCATCGCCAATTCCCGGTTATGACAGACAGCAGAGGTATGTTGTACAATATAATTAAATAAAAATGTTGATCTAAATAATATTTTTCCTATATATACAGCACTGATTCTGGCTGGGATAATCCTTTTCGCCCTGGTGGCGATTTATCCAGAGAGGCTGATGAAATTGTTAAAATGATTAGTGGTAAGTATTTTATGTTTATATTCCAATAATTTTCGAAGGATTTGTTTGCAGATTTTCACACTATCCACCTCATTAGTTTTTATGACGATTTTGAAATGTTGAGACCATTAGGGTTTGAAATTGTCTAGGTTATTATCATTCCGGGAAGCGATGTTACGTAGATTCCAAATATATTGATGTGCATACACTTCAACAATATTTTATGGACTTGTATTTCTACCGCATAATGCCAAATCTTATAATAGATTGGGAATATGGGAATTTTATACTATAAACATCATGGGGTAAAATGGTATCTGATTGGGTTAATTTTTGTATATAAGAGATATTCTAAAAAGGCATTAGAATATCTGTTACAATATATTTGCTTTAATCAATTGCATTTACCATTTCCATCCAATGTTCGATGAAATGCAACACAGTTGAAAATGCTGCTATATCAACAATGCAAACATATAAAAATTGGCGGATCCTTTTCATGTGTAAATTTATATTGATACATTTTTGAAAAATCTCCCCTCCAAGGACCAAAAATATAGAAGTACAGCCACTTTGATTGCGCCAAAAACTTCAAAATACGGAAAATGAGGTGGTAATGATATAACTCATTTCCAATATCAAACATCCTAGGATCAGTAGTAATGTATGTCCAAATTATCTATTATCTATTTAAAATATTGTGTGCTCTATTGTGGTTTTAGCGGACAGACGGGAACAGATTCGCAAAATAAATGACAAATTTAATATTCTCAGTATTAATCGTTCGTCTTTATGTAGTTTAAATAAAATGTGTGAAGATATTCTGTGGTGTTAAAACTCTTATATCATTTTAGTCATTTTGTAATATTTAATTTTTAAGTAGAAAACAGTTTTTCGTTGTATTATATTAAATGAATTATTCCAAAACATAATATCTTTTTTATATTTGATTATTAAAGTGCACAACAAAGAGACACTCAGATTTAAGTGTCTGTCCGTGTGGCTATATTCTCGCCTTTTTATTTTGGTTAACTATATTTGATTAACTGGCAAAATACACGTGATATCTATCAATATACTTACCCATGAAGAGCTCATTTCAAAAAGTAGATACAAAATCTTCCCATTCTTCTTTGTGTTCTATTGGCTGATGTCATTATTACCTGTTCAAGGTTTTCGTAGGACAATTAAATTGATTTATATAATAAGGAAGCCGCATCAAATAGTATTTACGTTTCACAGGACACCTATAATTAGTTTTGGACGTTTTGATTGTTTAAGGTATGTTTTAATGGCGAAGTTAATCATTCAAAAAATTGCATACACACACGTAATATATGGGTGTACGTATTATAATATTGACATAATAAAATGAAACAAGTTCAAAGGTTTATTTTGGAAAAATTATTATGTTTGAAACTTGTGAATTCGTTATTAAAAATTAATGGATTTCTGTGGTTATGATGGTGATGGCTTACAATAGATTCCGGGAGTAGTTGTGTAATTTGTACGAGAACTAATTTTCTACAATAAACGAACTATAGAGATTGTTTCCTTGTTATACAACTATTAGAATAAGAATCACATGCAATTTTTTTGGCAGAATAGTGGAAATGACACTCGAAAAGACAAATTGTATCTTTAATAAACAAAACATGTAAAAAGGAGTCAGTCGGTGTTGCCGACTGATATTCCCCATCTCCGAACTTGAACTAAATCGGTTACTCGTGTGCACCATTCGTAATAGGAGTGATAAAAGGGCTACATATTTTTTAAACGATACATTTATTTTTAAATAAAACACAGAGAGGCAAGGGTATGGTGGATACAACGAAAAGCTTGAAACATGTGGACATATAAAATCATTATAACATTTAGAAAATATACATGTAACAACTTGTATTTTTTGTTTAATTACAGGAGGTAAACCGATAACACCCACAGAAGATCATGCGATAGGTAATGGAAAGTCACAGAGTAATGGTACTAGCAATGGAACAGTCGTTACCGAAGATATAACAAAATCCAATGTGAGATCAAATAACAAAATGTTCCTGTCACAAACATTTTTAACACTCCCTTTTGTTCTTATTTCCCGTATAGGTATCGCAAAATCAGTCCGCACAAAATGGTACAAATGGTTCTCATAGGGTGCAATCAGCGGCAACAGCAGCAGCTGGAGCAGGAGCGGTAAAATCATCGGAAAACAATGGCGTTACATCTCTAGCTCAAGTCTCAAAGCAAGTGGTACCTGGACCTACATCGGCTAGTCATGTTGTCATAGACGAAAAGAAAAACAAGAAAAAGGGCTGTTGTATTATCCAATGAACCAATGCAGCACTTCACAGACAAAACTTTACAATGCTGTTGATAGTGATGGGAATGAAAAGGCGGCCGGATGATACGCATGAATTTGGCATCGTCGACGTCGACTATGATGCATCTCTTAGCATGCCTATTTGTTTATGTATAGAAAAACAAAACTATATTATATTATATTCCTAATATATTTTTTACTAAGCATATTTATTATTTATATATTATACCTACTATATTTTGCGAGAACGTCAACGGCAGCAGCGACAACAGTCGCATACAATGAATGACAACAATGTGTAAAATCGACGTAGTAGTGTAACCAGACAAAAAAAGAAACCACTCAATCAATGAAATCAGCGAGCTGGAAAACAGCCTCTCACTGAAATCGAAATCGATTCGAATCGATGCTGAATTTACATGTAAGCTAAATATGACAGACCGACGTACAGACGTACATAGATATATTATGTACATGTACGTACAAACGAGATAAATAGTGTACGAATCGATTGAAATGAATGTTTTAAATGATATTTTTGTTAATCACACTCCCCTTTTTGCAAATTTCCAAACAAATGACCCTATCTGTCACTCCTGTTGTGTAATTTTTTATATATTTAGACAACTTAAAAATAGGAATGGAATGAATCGGTCTCAGTGTACACACATACAAAAATAACACTGTGTTAGTAGTTTTTTCAATTGTTTTATAAATATATACTCGTAATTATATTTAAATATTGTAATGAATATGTTCATTCATTTCGCGTCTTTGACAAGTTTCTTTTTTATTTTGTTTATACCTTCAAATGTCCGTATGCAAAAAACAAAAACCAACTCAACTTACATCCAATAAAATACGCATTTAATAGCCAACAGTACCAGTCAAACGATTTTTGCACCTAAAACACACACATCTGCGCTTCTCTATCAGTTTCAAGTATCAAAAATCTGCTGAAAAGATCCCATAGTGTATCTTCTGTTAGTTGAAATTATACATGCATCCCTACATAACTATATACATATGTATTTGATCGCAGGATACATTACAAAGCGTATAGAGGCAAGCCGTATAAAAACAACCCTTTCCGTCAGTGATCATATCCACGACAACAAAACACAACCCGAACAAACAAACCAACAATCAAAATATCAACAGCCAGCTGTATATGAATATAAGTATGTATGCAATTAGAACATACATATGAGATAAAACATTATGTCTTACATAGAAGTAATACATGTATTGCGTATATTCATATACCAACCGAACATTGCATATTACCAACATATAGTACATTTATATAACCACCATTACCACAGCCACCATCACCGCCACCCAACCACATACATATATATTTATATACAAAGATGTATGTTTATGACGAGCACAAGCAGACAAGCCAGCAAACAAGCTACAGCATATTATAAACCAAGAGATAATGTAACAAAACAAACAAAATTCAATATTTAATATTGTAAATTTCAAAATTTATGTTAAGTTATGTATGAAAAATCTTAAATAATAATAATAATAAAAAAGAGAAAACAAAACCATAAAACTACTAGACAAAAACACAAATCATATGTTGTTTTTTTTTTTTGTGATTCGCTAGTGGATTGTAACGGGTGATCCAAGTAGACATAATTGTATGAATAACTTTTCTTTTGACGGATTATATTATTTTTCTTTTTTTATTGTTTGGCATTTTACTAAGAAAAGACGCCTAAAGAACGTTTACAAATCGTCCCAATTTTTTTGTGAAGGCTTAAGTTTATGCCGACAAACTGGCTTCAGTTCAGACTTTAAGCAAATCACAGACACTTGCGGCGGTACCACCAAATTTCGTCGAATGTTTTGGCAAGCCAATGGCGTGTACCATTTGGAAATGCTCATGAAGAACATCTATAAATGATAGAGCGTATCCAACACTTTGGAGAAGGTCCTCGATCATTATGAATTTTAGAAGCAAGGATGAAATGCTATTACAGGAATGAAAACAACTGCATGAATTATCTAGATTTAGAATTGAAAGTATCACAGTAAACAAAATATCTAAAATGAGTAATTAACAAACTGTTAATTTAATTTTTTTTATTTGAATTGACGGGATCCACGATATAAATGAAGTGAATTGGACAAATTGGTGTCATTTTTTGTTAAGGTTATACTGTTCCAAAATTGTGCAAGTTTGGGCGGAGGTATCAGATAAGATGGACCTATATGGTCCATCATATTGCACCAAATATTAAGATCTGACATGTGCATACCACACAGGTTTTACTATTCGCTTTACATAAGGTATATGTTTATACCAAAATTGACCATATATGGGCGGAATCCGAAGAAATTGTCAAATAGATCTTTGGATTAATAGATGTTTGGTAAAATATTATGATGTGCCATCAATGCTTCATATGAAATGTACAAGCTTTTAAATTGTTGACCCTTTGTGGAGGAGATAACAGAAGAAGTGGACCGATGGGTAACAGCTTTGGACTTTACCTATGTTTGTTAAAAGTATTACGATAAGCAGAGTTTCGGTCAAATCGGACATTCCATTCTATTTATATTGTATTAACAATATTTCAAAATGTTAAACCTATGTAAGTGAGGTACCAGAGGGAGTGGATCGATTAGTCCCATCTTCGGTATTGATTTAGGCTTGGTAAAAATATCACAATGTGCAAATATTGGATCAAATCGGATACAGTATAAACTCGATAATCCGGACCTCGCTAATCCGGACTGCATTTCACAATTCATTGCGTATCCTATAATCCGGATTGTTTGCAACTTGATAAACCGGATTGTGTTCAAACATTATTTATTTTGCTTTTTTATTGAAGTCGTAGCAAATGAAACACATGTTTCAGCATGTGCGAATTATAAAACCGTTTTTCTGCCACAAAACACGACAAGCCTGGATCAAAATCCAATAAGAGTAACAAAAATGTACTATAAAAAGTCGCTGTTGTGTGAAATGCTATATATATATTATAACGAAGATTACACGCAATTTTTGAAGAATTTCAATATTAAAATGTGCTGCATTTTGCTAAAAAACTCTTGGGGGAAAGTGAGTGAGAGGTTACTAAGATCCAGCTGGAAAAATCTGTTCAAGGAAGAATGGGATTTTGAAGATAATTTGCCGTTGTATGTGCTGCAGGAAAGACTTAATTCTGATGAAAATATTGGGGAGACGAATACGACCTTTATACCACAACTAATTCAAAACTCGTTTCAAATAAACATTAACAACGAAGAAGTTGAGGCATGGATTAACGATAATAACTCGACAGTGTCAGATATTCATTTCATTTCTTCGGAGGATGAAGAGGCTGATATTTTAATTGAAACTCAACCCTTAAAAGCAAAAGATGCTGTTCAAAGTTTAGAAACGTCAATAAAATGGGCTGAAGAAAATAATGTCGGCATAGAAAAAGTTTTTGTTCTTCATGAATTGCGGGAACAGGCATTAGAAAAATGTTTATCTAATTCGCCGCAAACAACTGTACTTGATTACTATGCCAAAAAAATTAATGCCGATTTATGTTAACTTTGAAATATATATTTAATTTACCTGTACCTATTATATTTTAAGTTTATATTTTTGAAATGAATTTCTTTTTTAATAAAAACCAAAAACTATTTAAAATAACACTAATTTAATATATTTAAAACATTTGGAAAAAACTCGATAATCCGGAAATCTCGGTAATCCGGATTTGGGTCTGCAATCAATTATCCGGATTAACGAGTTTTTACTGTATTCGGAATGTTACCAGAAACGTAAGCCGATTGGTCTCATCTTTGGGCTTTATCTCGGTTTGTTAAAATGTGCAGTGTATGGGTCAAATCGTACACCAGGAGTGGATCCACGGATCAAATCTTGAGACTAGGCTTGGTAAGAATATCACAATGTGCAAAAATTGGGCGATATTTAAAAATTACAAATTTTAAAAATGTTGACTTTTTGTAGGTGAGGAACTAGAATGAGTGGAACGATAAGCTCCATCTTCAAACATTGTACAGGCTTGGTCCAAGTATTAGGTTGTGCAAAATTTGTTTTAAATCGGCAAAATATTTATCATTTTATTAGAGAGGTAACAGAAAGAGTGGACCGATATTCCCCATATTCCAACTTGATCGAAAACGGCAGTTTCATTAGAAATCTTTGGAGTTTACAATTCAGATCTACTGAATTTAATGAATCCGATACAATTTAAACGTACTATAAGTTTGTAAGAAATGTTACGGTATGCAAAGTTTGGTGAAATCGGTTACTCCCTCCGAGAGTTATCATGCGCAGCAAACAGACACACAATCGGACATTTGTAAATCGATTCCAAATTACCTGTAACGGATTTAGTTCAAAGAAATTAAATATTTCGACAAGGCAAATTTTTGCCGCAGAAAAGTATATAAACCCTCATTAGCCATAAGGCTGAGGGTATATAAATTCTGAAACAAATGGGGAAAATAGTGTTCATTCTTCCCACCTCTGAAACTAATTTAATGTTGGCAACATTTGCACATATTCGATACATTGAAGATTTAACAACGCTTAAAATAATAATGACGAAAGGCAGCACCATCTATTAATAGTTATTTCACTTAATACCTTAATTAAAGCCGATAAAACAGGATATATATCAATTTAATGAGAAGTACTGTATTATCCTAGGTATAAACTGTATTATCGACACATATGGACTTATCAGAGCATACTTTAGGGGTAAAAATTATTATACATATGTTTCATTTGCAATACGATAAGCTTATCACTCTCCGCCTTATTCTGGGCGTCAGTTTCCCGGGAATTTACTTGCTCTCCCCCTTCGAATTATTCCGAATCTCATTTCAAGGTTAATTTTTTCGCTTTCGTCTTATTTAAAGGATGTTAGAATGTGGTAAATCTTGCAATGTTGGAAAATTTGGTAGACTAAATGAAAAGAAAAAGGAGTATGTGATGACAATTTATGCGAGAAATTTCGCAAGTAAATAAAATGGGAGCTGACTAAAAAAATCAAGTATCACAT